TACTGGACACGAAAGTAGGAAGAGGAGCAGACGTTGGCTCAGACCACTACCTCGTACAAGGGACAATCCAAAGCAAATTAGAAGCTTTCAGAGAAGCAGGAGCTGCAGATAGACCACAAGCCAAGTTCAACACTCAAAAACTGAAGGACCAGGACACAAAGGACATCTTCACTGCAAGCATAAAGGACAAAGACGAGACACAAATCAACACTGGCGAAGAGGTCAGCGTCGAAAAGCACTGGAACAACTTGAAAACAGTGTGGAGTCAAACCTGCATGGAAGTTCTAGGCAGAAAGAAGGGACAGGACAAACAGTGGCTCACTACGGACACTTGGAGACTGATAGAAGAGAGAGGGATGGTGAAACAAAAGATTCTCCAGTGCACCGAAGAGCATCAAAAACAGGATTTGAATGCAAGCTACAATACACCGAACAAAAGAGTAAACAAGAGTGCCAGGGAAGACAAAAGAAAATATTATGAAGCCATGGTGAGTGAAGCAGAACAAGCTACAGTACAGGCAAAGGAGACCTCGCAACACTCTACCAAGCAACTAGGTACCTATCAGGCAAAAGCTCTGCACAAATTAAGCCAGTGAAGAACGACAATGGAAAGTCAATCACCAAGGAAGTGGAGCAAAGGAAACACTGGGCTGAACACTTCAAAAGACTTCTAAATCGACCGCCACCTACAACGCGCCCAACAATACCAACAAAGGAGACAGAGCTACCAGTGAACACCAACCCCACGACGAAGTCAGAAGTCCTGAAGGCAATCAAGATGCTGAAAGCTGAAAAAGCAGCAGGACCAGATGGAATCCCAGCAGAAGCATTGAAAATGGACCCAGAGACAACAACGGACTTGATGACGCCACTACTGGAGAAGGTGTGGAAAGAGGGCAAGGTACCCGAGGATTGGAAGAAAGGATACTTATTCAAACTAACAAAGAAAGGAGACTTAAGTCAATGCAAGAACTGGCGCGGAATTATGCTCCTGTCCATCCCAAGCAAAGTGCTAAGCAGCATCATCCTGCAGAGAATCAAACACGCCCACCTGGATGAAAAATTTCGACCGGAACAAGCTGCATTCAGGAGAAACAAGTCATGCATTGATCAGATCGCCACATTACGGATCATCATTGGACGGACAAAGCTTGGAATGGCAGTCACCTCTCTATCTCAACTTCATCGACTTTGAAAAGGCCGTCAGCAGACAGCGTCGATCGATAGGTGATTTAGAAACTACTTCACTACTACGGGGTGCCACCGACAATAATACATCTCATCCAACAGCTGTACGACAATGCTGCATTCCAAGTAATCCACAACGGGAAACTTACGGAATACTTCGAAGTGAGGACAGGAGTAAGATAAGGCTGCCTATTATCTCCAATGATTTTTCTGAGTGCAGTAGACTGGATAATGCGACAGACAGCGGGCAATGAGGAAACAGGCATAAAATGGACTGACACAAAAAACTTGGAGGATCTGGACTTCGCCGATGATATATGTTTGATTTCCCACAAACTGGAAGATATGCAAGCGAAAAGCAACAAGTTGGCAGAAGAAGCATCCGGAGAAGATAGGACTTCAGGTGAACATAGAGAAAACAGAGGTGATGAAGATTCCTGGGCAACAACAACATCAACAACAGACAACAATCAGCATAAATGGGAGGAACCTGAAAGAAACAGCCTCCTTTACCTACACACCCACCTGGGAAGCATCGTTTCAACTACAGGCCAACGGAACTGACGAGGATATCAAAGCAAGAATCGGAAAAGCAAGACAAGCTTTCACTACTCTCAAGTCTGTGTGGAGGTCAACAGCACTCAGCATCAAAAATAAGATCCGGATTTTCAACTCTAATGTGAAGTCAGTCAGTGCTACTATACGGATCAGAGACTTGGCGCGTCATAAAGAGCACCTCAAACAAACTACAGACCTTCATCAACAGTTGTCTTCGCTCAATACTCAAGATCAGATGGCCGGCCAGAAAAGATCAGCAACAGGGAATCTCTGGGAGTGAACCAACCAGGAACCAATTGTGAAACAAATATGCAGGAAGAAATGGAGATGGATTAGCCATACTCTGAGGAAACCATCAAGTGACATCACTAGACAAGCCATTGCTCGAGTGGAACCCGAAAGGGAAGCGGCGAGTTGGTCGTCAGTGCGAGGGTGACTTGGAGGAGGTCAGGTGAAGAGGAGATGAAAACGTGTGGACAGACTTGGAGCCAGGTAAGGACTCTAGTAGAGAACCGAACGCAATGGAGACGCACGGCTGAAGCCCTATGTTCCTCTAGGAATGAAAGGAAACAATAATAATAACATCAGGACCCTCTACCAATTCGAAGAACAGGCATCACTAGCAAGAACTCTGGCATCTCGAGCCATGGATGTATGTTGTTTAGGAGACAGGCTTACAAGACTCGAGTGTAGTCATTCACTTAACCTCACCCGGACAACAAGGTGAATCTGAAAAGTCCACTTTAAGGTTGTCAGGAGACCCCTTAGCTAGTTCGCGAGGACTCGCAGATGTAGTAATAGGATTGAGTGTTAGGGCAGAAAAATCTATTCTTGGTTGGATCCCAGTAAATAGTCGTATGTGTGCGGTCCGTCTGAACAGGTCCGTTAGAAGGACGAAGGACGGCGTTAGCCTCGCTGTCTTTTCATACTCTCCGCTTACGAACCAACAAACTGAAAGTCGGATGAACTTGAGGATGACTTCTATCAGAAACTGTCTAGTTTGATGCAAAAAGCAAAACGTTCAGATATAGTTGTTTTAGCAGGCGACTACAATGCCCAAGTAGGGAAGTTGTGCCAGAATGAGGAGTATGTAGGTGGTATGTATGGAGTTCCTTGCCGATGGACCGACAACTGTGACCGTCCTCTACAGTTCTGTCCAGATAACCATCTGCCTCTAGTCAGCGCTAACTGTAGGCATGAAGAGAGACATTGCGTGATCTGGTGAACTCCATCACTAAGTCAACGCTGGACTCAGATAGACCACATAGCCATAGGGTATCGTTAGCGAGGGGCAGTAGGAGACTGCCCCTACTTCTGGAACACGTGCGTAGACTCTGATCACGCTCTGGTTCGCGCACGTTTGTGATTACGATTAAACGGATATAGAAAATTGTTGGCAGCGAAGCAGCTGCGACCCCCAGCTAGATCAGGACTCTGAGTCCCTATTTAAGGAGGAAATAGCGAAACGAATACCTGAGGTCGACAGGAGTACTCCTCCTGAGATAGCCTGGCACAACATAGTTAGCTGCAGACACAGCTGTAAAAGCTGTTAATAAACTGAAACCTAAAGTTAGTAAGAGCCATCGGGTTTCTACCACCTCATCCGAACTGATTGACGCAAAAAGACTGATTCCAGCGAGCTCCGATTACGATGAGAAGCGAAAGCTACTCAAACGCAAACTAACAAGAAGTCTTCGTAACGACCGTGAACAGTGGTGGGCGACAAAAGCGAAGGAAATAGAAAAGGCATCGGCGATTGGTAACACCAGACAGCTATTTAGACTTATCAGGGAAACAGCTGGTAAAAGACAAACGATAATTGAAACAATCTCTGAGGAAAGTGGCACCATAGTTAGCTGCCAGGATTGACGACTTGAACGTTAGAAACCACACTTTAAGGGGCAATTTAACTTGCCTAAAGCTACGCTCAACTTATCGAAAATTCAACACCTTCTAGCATGAGATTTAGACACAGGTCCACCGTCCCTAACTGAGGTTACTAAGGCTGTTACTAGTCTGAAACGAGGCAAAGCAGCAGGACCTGATGGAATGATTCCAGGTGGAGACCGTTTACTGTCTGCGTTAACTAAGGTAGTAGGCAGCATCTGGGAATCAGAAGACGTCCCTTCGGGCTGGTGTAAATCACTGAATATCCCGATATATACGAAAAGGGAAAGAAGTCTTCCTGCGATAATCACAGAAGGATTAGCTTGACTAATATGGTATAGTTCTAGGCTCAATAATAATGCGTAGACTAAGTGGTCCACGGGAGGAACAAACCCGAGAGAACCAGGAAGGCTTCAGACCAAGAAGAGGGTGTATTGATCATATCTTCACTCTTCGACAGATTCTGGAACACAAGTGTCATACTTACTGGCGTTCAACAACCGTTATATTTCTTGACCTAAAGGCGGCATTCGGTTCTGTCGACCGAGAGGTACTCTGGCGATGTCTACCTGTAAAGGGAATGCCGAGGAAATACATTGCACTGATCAAGGCACTCACTCTGCTCGAACTCATGCAGCCAGCCAGGTGAGAGCTTATGGCGAGTTGTCATCTGAAGTGGTGACAACTAGTGGTGTCCGACAGAGATGCCCACTATCCGCATTTCTTTTGAATTTCATCCTAGATGTACTAATGGAATTAACCCTAACTTCTGACTTCAGTGACTCAGGGATTGGCTTGTTACCGTTAGGGAGAAATCTCGTTGACTTAGAATATGCACGAGGATGATATAGTCCTTCTAGGTGAAGACGCTGGCAAAATGCAGCAGAGTCTTCTGAACACCTTGAGCTGCAATCTGCGAATGTTCGGCATGCGATTCGCTCACGCTGTCAAAATGTAAGATGATGCTACAGAACTAATCTGGACTGCATTGTATTTACAAGGTTTCATGATTTGTTACAGCCAGAATGAATGACCCTGCTAAGTTAAACAACCTAGAAGAAAACTCAGGTGTTACAGTGCATTCACTTGCATGTAGTCACATATTAGGGAGAGAGGTGAAAATAATAAAAAGTAATTTGGTTATGTGGAGACAGACGCTAGTCATTGAATCAACAAACACGTGCAATCGAAATGGCACAACAAGGGGGAGAGGAAAAATATATAAAGTGAATTATGAAGCTGTGTGAGTGCATTTATAGGTTTATGAGCAATATGTGGTGCTCGAAGCGTTATCCAGTTATCCATACTGTTAACTTACCTAATATGGAATTAATGACCTTTTTACATTCCGAAAACAATTTATTTACCTGAAAATGTTGAGGAAGAACTTGTATTTGAAAAGGCTGTCCAGCTGATGCTCCAGCAGCACCTACTGGAAGTTGTAGAACATACTGCAACGGAGCTGCCGTAGAATTGACTGTAGTAGCATTTGGAGCGGAAGCTGCTATTACAGTAGATGAGGTATTGACTGAAGACTGAGCACCACCTAGACCACCACCAGAAGAGACAGTTGTAAAATGAACAGCTGTGGGTTGGTTTTGTTGAACTACTGTTTGACATGGGATTCCTGAATTAACAGAAGTTGCTCCGGCGATTGCTCCAGATGCCAAAGCAACAGTCACTGTTTGGGGTTGTGCTGAAGCTCCAGTAGCATCACTCGACAATCCCGAAACAACTACTTGACCTGAGCCTTGTTCTAGAGACAATGAATGCGCACCATTTGTATTTGTGAAAAAACTGTTCCTATTCCCAGGATTTTCTGGCTTAACATTCATTGGACTACCGTTGGTATTTGAAGAAGAGGTCGCCTGGTTTGGCTTTCAAAAATGTATGGATTTAAAAGGGTAATATATCGAAAAACAAAAGTGACAACTTTACATAATTGAACTAAAATAACCTACACACACCAACGAATCACGGTGGCCAAGCATTTTTGATAAAGATTTCTTTCGGAAGATCAAATTCCTATTCTAGTGCATCAGGGCTACACACGCGCTGGATGTAAGTAGCACGGAATTGAATCAAATTTCGTTTTCTTTCAACACGCACCTAACCGTAGGAACTTCCCACTTGACCGTTCCGTGCGGCTTTCCCATGGACAGACGTTTATGTTTCATCAGCTCCTCTTGTTAATTTCACCATAGAGGAAGAGGATTTTAGGCTCAGTTTTTACTTAAAAGGTGAATTTTATTGCTAGATGACATTTGTTAAATGCCTGTAACAAAAGTGATTAAGGCCACAATTACAGTCACAAATGATAAAAATGTTGTCCACTCACTTTGTATACTGCTGAACATTATCAATAGTTGACAGTTCCCGAGACTTGCCATAAAACAGTCTGCTAGTAATGGACCCAAGGGAGATCCCATCATTTTGTCAGTAGACAGTCTCATTAAAAGTGAATTGTACATCTCAGGCATATGGGTTGTTTGAGGCATACGGCGAACATGTCTCACATGGTTGCAGGAAGGTATCAGAGTGCGATATATAGACACCTCGACGCAACACTGGACATCCTATCTCAACAAAATCCCCCTTCAAAGTAATATAAAAAGCGGAGAACAGCCTGTGAAAGGCAATGCGCCTTCGTCACATATCCATTCCTTCATTTCTGGCCATCAAGATAGAGAAACTGGAGCTCAGAATACGAAAGGAATATTCCTTCGAACTCTTGGGTAGTGTTTCCATAGTTTCTATGCACATCCTGATTGCGTCGGTGGCACAGTGGTTAGGACTCTCGCCGACCATGCATATGGTCCGGGGTTCGATCCCCTGCCGGCGCACACCCGATATCTATGGTATGCCTGAATTTGGGCAACCGATATCCATGCTGAAAATTCCATACTTGTACTGAAAATACGGTGTGGAATCAAGCTGTAAATAAAAATAAAAATAAAAAATAAAATAAATAGATCACCAGATTATTTATCCCATTACGTAAATACTACTACGTATTGATTCATACCAACAACTAAGGTTATGGCAACTCATCACATTTGTAACTATTCACATTCCGGAAAAAAATTCTACACAAAGGCCACTGTACAGCTGAAGGAAATGTAGTCGCAGAAGTAAACATCCCCACAGCACTAACTATGTTAATTTCCTCAGTTCATGGAATATTCCCCACTGAGCCTGCAGAAAATCAAAGCAGGCAATTCACCAAAAAGTCTCTTTTCAACAAATTTATCCATTAAGCTGTACCAGTCGCATATTATATATATATATAATATACATCACTTTAAAAATTATGTGAATTATGACAAAAATTATTATTATTATTTCTACACCACAATGAGACTTATACATCTCATGAACTATATTATAAAGTACAAAAAAAAGTATTTTTGTCATAATTCACATAATTTTTAAAGTGATGTATATAATTGATACAAGTACAAAACTTGGGCACTGTGGTAGAGTATAATTCCATAATGGATAAGATTTTATTTTGATAAATCACACAGTGTAGTACAGTTATATTGACTGATGACGTTTCGAGCACAAACTATTGCTCATAATCATATCAAGTTACTCACACAACTTCTTTCCTTCATTTATATACATGTGTGGAATCGACTAGATATTGGAATAAAATTCAATATGAGATAATGTACATTCAGAAATGATAGTACGAGTGTTATTAATCCATTGCAATTAGATGGGAAATACGACAAGTGTTTTTATATTCATAATAAGTTGATTGTTAGAATATGTTGATGTGTTTGAATGGAAATAGAATTTTAAGACTATTTATCATCCTCTTCTGATTTGACTGGCGGTAATAATATCTTCCATATTTCTGGTATTTGCATTGAGTCACTTCTGTTGCATGTGTTGGGTGTAGACTCGATGAATAAGGATTCCGTAATCAACCTCTCTCCACCTACCTATATTATATATATATATGATAATATATGTATAATTATAATATAATTATAATATAACATATAATATATATATATATATATATATAATTATAATATAATTTACAAAATACCTTGCAATGACTGTGAAGTCAACTACATAGGTCAAACTAGTAGGTCAGGGATAGTCAGATTATCAGAACATGAGAATTTAGCTAAGGGAAAAATGATTGACTCTGAAAACATAAGTAATTTAGAAAAAAGCTCAGCTATTGCACTTCACGCAATAACAAACAACCACACAATAGGGTGGGATAGGGTTAAAATTCTAAAAAGTAATATAGGTAGGTGGAGAGAGAGGTTGATTACGGAATCCTTATTCATCGAGTCTACACCCAACAAATGCAACAGAAGTGACTCAATGCAAATACCAGAAATATAGAAGATATTATTACCGCCAGTCAAATCAGAAGAGGATGATAAATAGTCTTAAAATTCTATTTCCATTCAAACACATCAACATATTCTAACAATCAACTTATTATGAATATAAAAACACTTGTCGTATTTCCCATCTAATTGCAATGGATTAATAACACTCGTACTATCATTTCTGAATGTACATTATCTCATATTGAATTTTATTCCAATATCTAGTCGATTCCACACATGTATATAAATGAAGGAAAGAAGTTGTGTGAGTAACTTCATATGATTATGAGCAGTTAATATAACTGTACTACACTGTGATTTATCAAAATAAAATCTTATCCATTATGGAATTATACTCTACCACAGTGCCCAAGTTTTATACTTGTATCAATTATATACATCACTTTAAAAATTATGTGAATTATGACAAAAATACTTTTTTGTGTACTTTATAATATAGTTCATGAGATGTATAAGTCTCATTGTGGTGTAGAAATAATAAAAGTTGTTAACAATTGAGAAATTTTGCAATTGGCTTATAGTTATGATAATAATTACATTGAATTAAGTAACATTTCTTGGATTTCAACTGTATATTCTTGTTAAGTCGGTCGGTCGGTTTTCGACATAGAACTTTGCACAGATGTGCGGCAGTTCAAGTTGCTACACTCCATGTAGCACACAAAGCAAGAGAAGAAAGTAAAAGAAATGCATAACACAGACAGTAAACAGAGGTGTGAGACAAAGGAATAGTAATAACGGAGAACAAAAGTTTAATTGGAAATCATAAGTCACAAGGAGTGGATGCATCTGCGCCACTGAGAACGATTTTGAGCCATGTCACCAATTGTTTCCAACCATTGGATTTTACCATCCCGAGGACCCCAACCAGGAAGTCTACACCTTGCTACGTGGCTTAGACTAACTGTTGTAGATTTCATTGATTGGTGCCATGTTTTCGTTTGACCGCCGCTAGCTCTTTTCCAGCCTGACCCTATATCAGCTAACATTGCCCGTCGAGGAAGGCGATGACTAGGAATACGTAATATATGTCCTAACCATCTCAGTCGATGTAATTTCACAGTCTCGTCGATTGATTTCCCCGCCTTACCTAGCACTCGACGCCTAACCTCAATATTGCTCACCTTATTATACCACTTCACGCGGGAGATGGAACGCAGACACCTATGATCGAAGACAGCTAATCTTTTCATGTCTTCTGCTCTCAATGGCCAGGTCTCACAGCCATAAAGGAGGACGGAGCGGACTGTTGAGCAGTACACACGCCCTTTGGTCGATAGTCGGATATCAAGTCTACGCCAGAGACGGCGTAAACTGGCGTATGCGAACCTAGCCCTTTGTATTCGTGCTGATATTTCGTCGGAGATCAACCCGTTGGGGCTGATGGTACTTCCCAAGTAAGTGAAGTGGTCAACGTGCTCTACCACTTCACTTCCTATTTCTAATCTAAGGGTCGGTGAAGTCCAATCCTGCAGCAACATCTTACATTTTACAGGGGCGAATCGCATACCAAACATTCTTAGATTGCAGCTCAAGATGTTCATTAGACTCTGCATTTTGTCAGCGTCCTCGCCTAGAAGGACTATATCGTCCGCATATTCTAAGTCAACGAGATTCTTCCCTGGTAGCAAGTCAATCCCTGAGTCGCTGAAGTGTGTTAGGGTTAAGTCCATTAGTACGTCTATGATGAAGTTGAATAGGAATGGGGATAATGGGCATCCTTGACGGACGCCACTAGTCGTCACCACTTCAGATGACAACTCGCCATAAGCTCTCACCTGGCTGCATGAGTACGAGTAGAGTGCCTTAATCAGTGCAATGTATTTCCTCGGCATTCCCTTTACAGCCAGGCATCGCCAGAGAACCTCTCGGTCGACAGAATCGAATGCCGCCTTTAGGTCAAGAAAAATAATGATTGTCGGACGCCGGTAGGAATGCCTATGTTCTAGAATCTGTCGAAGGGTGAAGATATGATCAATACACCCTCTACCTGGCCTAAAACCTGCCTGGTTTTCTCGTGTTTGTGTCTCCCGAGCACCACTTAGTCTACGCAGTATTATTGAGCCTAGGATTTTAAATACTATATTAGTCAAGCTAATCCCTCTGTGATTATCACAAGAAAACTTGTCTCCCTTCTTGTATATCGGGATGATCAGTGAGTTACACCAACCCGATGGGACTTCCTCTGATTCCCAGACGCTGTCTAGAACCTCAGTTAACGCAGACAGTAAACTGTCTCCACCGTATTTAAATACATCTGGAGTCAATCCATCAGGTCCCGCTGCTTTGCCTTGCTTCAGATTAGTGGCTGCTTTAGTAACCTCAGTTAAGGACGGAGGACCTGTGTCTATATCCCATTCAGGGAGGTGTTGGATGTCCGGCAGGTTAAGTGTGGCTGTGGGCCAATTGAACTGCTCCTCATAGTGTTCTTTCCAGCGCTCCAGACGTCTATCCTGGGAGCTAATTATGGTATTCTTGTTAGGACGTGGTGGAAATCTGTTTTCCATTAAGATTTTTCTTAGGAAAATGAATTTTCACCAAGTTTTACACAAAACATGCAGTCAAAACCTATGAAATATGACTTAACGTGTGTAACTAAGAAAATGTTGTACATGAATCTTGAATTCGAAGGTGACTCAGCTTTTGACATCCTAAAAAGAAGGATCTTACAGTCTCTGAAAAGGACATTCGCTGTAGCATTGTTGAGAACAGTGTTTCCTAGTCGACTATTACTGTTCAATAACTTTAAGGACATGACCCCAAAGTTGACCAACTCTATGTGTGTTTATCGGTCCACATACTTTTGTGAAGCTAGATATATCAGTTTTTGACTTGGGTTTTGTTCAAGAGAAGCAAGAACACTATTCTGAGTGGTTGCGAAGAGGTGGAAGTGGAGCTACTATAAGAAGCGCAACAATTAAACATCTGATCGATACTGGTCACCTTATCTCTACAGCCACTTCCTTCAAAGTTATCCCACATGGCGAAAAATAAATTGCTCAGATCACTACGTATCTGACTAATCTGCATTGTTGAAGCTTTGGCCATCGAAGTAGGGGAGCTATATCTCTGTATTCAGAAAAAGTTTGTTCAACCCTTCAAGCTCTTGTGGTTTCAACCCGTCTATGTGCTAGAGTATGAAAATACCCACCCATAATTGGATTCTACTTACTTTTCACTTTGTTTATTCCATTTTTATATCCTTCCCCTATTATGTCGATTGTTATCATTAATTTCACCTTGAACTACTTTCTGGAACTAGCTCACTTGTCACCTTTACTTACTTAATTCGGTGTAATTATTCTCGTAACGTTATCTTATAACTATCAGCCAATTGCAAAATTTCTCAATTGTTAACAACTTTTATTATTTCTACACCACAATGAGACTTATACATCTCATGAACTATATTATAAAGTACACAAAAAAGTATTTTTGTCATAATTCACATAATTTTTAAAGTGATGTATATAATATATATGTATATAAATATATATGCGACTAGTACAGCTTAATGGATAAATTTGTTGAAAAGAGACTTTTTGGTGAATCACTTGTTCTGATTTTTTATTAGTGCCTGGATAGGTATTAATCACGAATTAGGCATTAAACACCAATTGTGATAGGAAGCGACTAAAATGGTAATCAATATTATAAGCCAATGATCTCAAAACCATTCACATGAATATGATAACCTGACTGTTGAACCCGGGACTTGTTACAACTCTTCAATTTATCGTTTAACCACTGGCCAATCGCCTACCAATCAGAATACCCTATTTTCCGTTGACCTAGCAGAATTTTAGCATGGTTAGATATATATATATATATATATGATATTTTTCTATGTAGGAAGTTCTTATCTTAAGTCACAGGCGTCTTTGTCTTTTGATATTTACGTAGCGTCGGTCGATACCAAATTGTACTTATCACTGGTAGTCATTCCGCTAATAGACCTTTTCGCATGGTGTACTCTTAGGTTGTTGATCTAGTGAACAGTTAAAAGATAATGGAAATTCACGCTGATTTTTTGTAAACAATGGTGAGCTAAAACATCACAAGTTATTCTCATCACAAAACAAAGGAGAATTTATTCGTTCGACATATAATCGGTGTTTACTTGTAAATCACGTGATAAATTGCCCAATTAAATTACTGCATGGAATACAATTTAGACTTACTCGACGATGCCCTCTGGTTTCTTCACGAGGTACAATATCAATAAGGAAGTCAAACTGATCTGTATCTCCATCACTGACTGCCATAGCTATATCATTCCTTTGAAGTGTGCGTCTTCGGTTGCGTTCCGTGTGAACCCAAGCTCTTAAGGTTAACTCTCGAATAAAAAGTTCAGCTGCTTTAGCAAACAGTATTGGCGCTTCAGCACTAATCATCTTGTTAAAAAAGAACTAAAGTTTTAGTAGCAGTCAAATAAACAGAGATGACTAAAAATTAAGGAATACTGTGAAAGAGAAATATATTAGTAGACTTGACGACCGAAAATACTGTCCACTTAAAGGTATCAAATGAATCCTATGTACAAAAGAGTTAACCAGATTTAAATTGACGGCAAAATAACCTTTGACATTATAAATGCTAAAATGTCAGTAGAATTCCTAATTGATAAAGATACAACACACACATGCATAGGGCCAGAGAAGAAAGTAAAAAGAAATGTAAAAGAGATATGAGGCAAAAAGAATAGTAATACCGAAGGACAATTTAGTTCTATTGGGTATTACAAATCACAAGGAGTGGATGCATCTGCACCAGCCATTGAGAACGATTTTGAGCCAAATCACCAATTGTCTCCAGCTATTAGTGTTTACTGTCCCGGGGACCCCAACCAGTCAGGAAGTCTACACTTCCCTACGTGGCTGGCTTAAACTAACTGTTGTGGATTTCATTGACTGATGGAGCCATGTTTTGGTTTGACCACCAATAGTTGGCTCTTTCCCAACCTGACCCTATGTCAGCTGACTAACATTGCCCATTGTCGAGGAAGGTGATGCATGGCTAGGCATGCGTAACACATATCCTTGTGATTTGTAGTACCTAATAGAACTATATTGTCCTTCGATATTACTATTCTTTTTGCCTCATATCTCTGTTTACCGTCTCTGTTTTACATTTCTTTTTACTTTCTTCTTCTCTGGCTTTGTGTGCTGGTTGAAGTGGGGCGACTCAAACTGCTGCACATCGGTGCAATGTTCCACGTTGAAACCAGTCAGTTATACGAACTTAGCTACTCCGAACAGAACGTTAATGCACGAAAATCAAAATGGAAGGCCTAGATTCTGTATACTTTATTCCAATTTTGCCTCATTTCTACTAAGAACGTGTTCACCAAATTAAACATACCATGACATCTCTAGTTAAGTTTTGGTAAACTTTCAGATAAATAAAGGTGGTTGGACGAATCTAATGGTCCAAATACAATACATAAAACATTTCATTTTAATAACATAGTACATTGAACTTACCATACACTTAATATCATCATCTAGCTTCATAATTTTCTTTATTCTTGCCAAGGGTAGATCTTGAGTCTTAAATGCTGCATGGTCGCATTTTAAGCCGTCTATTTCAACACGTATGAGATCCCAAAATGATACCATTTGTGACTGACACTCTGTCAGTTGGTCATTCGAATAATCCATCTGCAAGAAATTGGGACAAAAAGCAACAATCACTCGCATGTCGGGAGTAACCGAGTACTTTTTTCATCCTTAAACGTCAACTCTTATTCTTTTCTGTGTCTTATGGGCTTTTGAACGATTATAAATAATCTTTTTGTTCCTCCCACTCAGTGATTATCACCTAATGTGCATATCGATAACTTAAAACCTGTCATATGGTAGTTACAAATACCTACTTACATAAGCTAAAATGACACAAATGTTATACAAATTAGCGAAAAGGTAACTGCAAACTAAAGCATAAAACTGTTAACAAGATTCCATTATGGGTAAAAACTTGATATGATTATGAGCAATAGTTTGTGCTCGAAACGTCATCAGTAAATATTACTGTATAACACTGTGAAACTCTATCAAAATAAAAATTTACCCATAATGGAATTACACTCTACCACAGTGCCCAAGTTTTATTCTTATATCAATGTTAACAAGATAGTGTTAGCGACCTAGGAAAATGGTAAAATAGCTAATCTACTGGGAAAAAGAATCTTAAATACATGGTGAATTCATGAAGCCAATATATGTACTTTGTGCAGTTTACTGCGAAAGTACAAGGTGCATCGACATAGTTGACGCGATCCGGCTGATTACAAACATTTTGGTATGTTCTCAGTCCAGAATATTCTACAGCAATTACTGATTCTGAGAACAGATTGCTAATCGGACTGTAAACAGTCCATGTGAGACTGTGGGATGAAAAACTGTACTGCTAATGAGTTGGATATTTGCTCCACGTCATGTGTAACAGTTTGACAATAACCAAACCCGCCGTTAGTGTCGAGTTCCTGTAAGTAAGCAATTAACCAGAGTTCAGACAACTTCTCACCCAAGTGAAGGTGATTTGTACAACTAACCTGTTATAAGATGAGATTATATGGCATTCTAATTCCGAAGCAGTAATTTAAGGGAATGGAAACGGTGTGCCGTGTACTAAACACCTACCATTTCCTCTAAATAACATTGAAATTGGCAAATAGTATAGAGTATGGAAGGAATTAGGATGACATGCATGACACCGCAGAAGCTGGAACTACTATTGCAAAGTGGGACACTCTACGATGCCTATATCATATGTTTATGTTTACATAAATGAATAGCAGAAAGTGTCCCGAGATGATTTTATTAAAAAGGATCTGTGCCTTAGCTAAACACCGTCAAGTCAAGTGTAGTTGCCAGTTCTCCCGACATGGTGCTCACCTATACGGATTTATTTAATCCTTTACATTCCCAGTGGGACAAAGGGCCTCAAGTTAGAGGCTTGAAGTTTCGGCAGCAGTGGTGTTTTTCTTTTACAGGATGAGGCTGCTAGCCTCGTGCCCAACTTTTCCTCTTTACCAGTCTTATTAATGGCTTTACGAGATTAAGGCGTGTGGGCCGCGGATTGAACCCCAAACCACATGCGTGGTCGACAAGCATTCTACCTCTGTGCCACCGACGCATATCTACGCGGATTATAGTCCGCGAATGGAAGTTTCGGTCGGACAGGAATTGTGTAACTGCCAAAAAGAAGTTCAAATGAATTTTGCTGAAGACTTGAGCGGATGGTCCCAATATAATCGGGCACACATTGAAAAGCAGACAATTGTAGAAATTATATTTGTATGAATCTCAGGGAGACTGAATTCAACAACCCCGCTTCAGAAAATAGACCGATAGTAGTACTGCGAAGCTACCTGTTGAAGTTTTGATAACACTACATGCAATTTGTCCCATATTTTGGTGACTATTCATGACGACAAGGATTTTAATATGAGAATGCATCTACGCTTGGTATCTTGATTATGGTCATTCTCCCGAAGTCCGGATCAATTTGTTTAGCAAAATGTCAGTAGTAATTATTTTTCTCAATCTCGCTGAGATTTAACAAACAATTCTTACGTATATGGAAGAAAGCAAATAGGACTATTCCTGAATTTAAGACTTGATATAATAATAATAATTTGCTTTATTCCAGAAACAGTGGTACAGTGTGGGATTTTCAGCACAGTGAATAGGAGACGAAACAAAAGTATACTGTTAGGTTTTAGGATACATGTTTGTATCAGTGACAATGAACACCTATGAATTACAAGACGATATTCGAAGTTGGGCCTTATAGGTATCATTATACCTAAGTAGCAATACATAACATAACTGTCATTTGAATAGCCAGAAGGGCTGTTGAATGTTGCTTAGAATGATTAAGAATTAAGTTTTCCGCATGACAGATATGAACCTGGAAGATTCCTACCTAATTAATATTCGGAATAATACAAAATAAACACCAATCAGAAGTCACCTCGACTCTCAATCGAAAAAGCCGCCACTGATTTCAAAAATGTGTCCTCCATCATAACTGTAACTTACAAGGGTGATGCTGTTACAACAATGTATTTACACCTATCAGAAATCAACTTTAAAGTCTTAATAAAGTCAAAAAGTGGGTTTAAAGACAGACATTTGTGCTTTGCTCAGACGTAAACAGGTTAATAGCAATTCGGGTTCATTGAAACACTTGAAATTTCTTTATGACAGGTATTGAGATATTTTCGCCCATGAACAGTGAATCGAAAATGACTTTGCGTTAGGGATATACGGTTCATTAGTGTATTTTGTGTTTTTCAGCTTATGCGAGAAAATGTGAGTTTAGGTCAATTGGAATTCAGCTACTGCCGATGCACACTTCTGAATAAGAGGAATAATGACACACGAAACGCCAACAATGAGATATCAGGAGTGAAATTGCAGTAATTCTAGTCCCATGAAATTCGAATGAAGACGGAAACGAAAGACAGAACAAGCGAATTTCAGGTTAAGAAAGTAGCTTAATATATAATTATGAATCTTTGGCACTGTGGTACAGTATTACTCTATTATAGATAAGATTTTATTTTGATGAATCTTTTGGAAGTTAGCCGTGTTCCCTACATTATCGGCATATGCATACTTAACAAGGATTGTATTGTGCTACCTGGAACTATATATAGCTGATTATCGTTGTTTTTGATACTTCGATAATACAATAATCCCCTTTTGTATCCTCAAGACTTTTTCCGGAAATTGTAAAATTTCTTGTCACTGTAATGGTTAATTCTGTCAAACGTGTAATTACCGTTAGGAGACTGGGATCTAATACTCGGCGACCATCTGAAGGCCTCAGTTCCGTAGACTATTCTGTACTTTTGACGCAAGACACACCCAAAGTTATGGTATATGATTTCATGGAGGAATTGATAGATAATGCGGCTCGTAGCAAAAATGATTTACTGATACTTCAGAAATCAACAACAGACCTACAGAATAAGTTTGACAGCATTATGCCCCTCACGCAACTGTATGACCGATTACAAAACATCTGTCAAGGATAACTTATCAAATCCGAGCGCATAATTGACTATTTGGCTGAAGAAGCTGTTGAGGGGATTATGTCTTCACATAGCGTCTTGGCCTATAACATTCCAGACAGAGAGCCTATTGCCAAACTTAAAAATTCATGTCTAAAAACTTGTAGTATGTCGCTAACAGAATGTCAGGTTTTGCGTCTTCGTAAGAAAACAGCAAACCACTCATGTCCGGTGCTTTTTAAAATCAGGTCTGTTGAAGAATTTCTCTGAAATCTGGTAAGATGATAGGCTCTTCAACACCCTACACTAACATTAGGGTTGCACCTGACTTAACGCCATTCCAAAGACTATGCCACTCAAGAACAATGAGTGCTGATAACTCTAATAGGACAATTGTGGATGATGTCCCATGCGTTATTCCGACAAGTGACATACCTTATGACCGCATGCATCAGACATTTTCTCGGGCACTCACAAATATTAGCCAAGTATTATATAAAGGCACTAATGCTGACACTGAAATGGTGGACATAGATGAGTAAACGGAACATAATGTTGAAATACATCGTTTTCACACTGACACATATATGTGCTGGCTGCCCTGTTAACCATCATCGACCAGTTACTCCTAAGAAAGGGGAAAACGAAGTAAATAAATTAAATACTGAACCCAGAGCTCAAAAGCCTTTGATATGATAGGGATGCAAGCACCTCTAAGCCTTTCTTTTTAAGAGAAAGTCAAATATGATGGGCCAAGCTCCTAGAAGTATGCTTAATTGGTCTCAACAAACAACACAGCGGGGTGATCAGTATTACTCTGCTCATCCTCTACGCAAACCCATTGTTAGCCAGCCCTCTTTGAATGTTCCATACCCCAAAAAGCCACCACATTTAGTAGGCCAAATAAGCGCACAGAACCCATTCACACATCTTATGTATTTAGTAGGAAGCATGTGCCGATGTCTGCACAAAACCTACTATGGTTTGATGACTAACCCACACGGATACCAAAACTTCATTCCTATTCTGGCAACAAATTACCGAATACTCATTTCGATTATAGCTTTCACAACAACATTGCCGCTCAGGGCAGGATTTTCATCAGCGTCAGTTAACAGAAACACCTGGCATCATGAATATAGCACGCATGATATCGGATCAATTCCTTGCTGGCATAGCGAACAGTCTACAGCTGGGGCAAGGCCTATTCCCCGGGAGATAGCTAACACAGTGTCGGCACCGAACGCGGACACTAATATCTCTAAAATATTGGTATCCGATTATCACTCAGGTGTCTCCCACTGCATATCCTATCCAGACGATAGACCATCCCTGACTACCACATCACAAATCTGCCTGAAGTCAATGCCTATGATCCAAAGATAAGAGTGGCTTTATTGCATATCCCTGCTAATTGTAGCGTTTATGTCCGTTGCTATGTCAGTTTAGTAACAAGTTATGTTTTTATATGCTTTTTAATTGAAATTTCACGTTGAATTTCATGTGAATATCGGTGGCACAATATGCTTGAACTGAGTTACATTTGCATCAGGAAATGTCGCTTGATACCGATATCTGCGCAATATGATGGATAAAATAGAGTAGGAAGTTGAAAATTTGAGCGCGTACTTTCGAATTTTCATGGAATCATACGGGTATATTCGGCCTATTTATTGAGACACTAATGTCTTAATTGGTTTGGTAGTTGTTGGTATTCATAGCTCAATTTCAGCATTAATTTGAGTTTTCATGTAGTCATAACAGTCAGCTTTTCATTTAAGGGCAAAAAGCTTTAGCACTATGGCCACGATATGTATTATTTTTGTGAATTTGTGTTTCAAGTGGCCTTTATTTTGAGGGAAGATTTAGTTGCTACAATATTTCAATTTCATAGACATGACTTAGGCTTATATGTGAAAGAAACTTATTGCCTTATTTTGAATAAAGACAAGTTGTTTAGCAGGTGAGGAGGACTTTATTTTTCAGTTTATTTGTGTAAATACTATTGCGCATCGAGTTGCATTGCAATTCCACATGAAGCAAGAGATTATGAATGCCTTGCCCTGTCTTCTGCATAGATAATACTGGATTTACTTCACAAGACTCTCCATATTAAGTTCAGTAAGGAGAAATAGAAGTTTGTCCACTTCAGTGTTATGGTTTGATTTATGAACTGTGTAGGCTTTTACAGTAATGCATTCAACAAGGTTCTTCATTTTGAGATCAAAAATGTACAT